TCACTTTTCCCTACCCCCCTGGGAAGTTCCAGCTGTTCGGATCTGTTCTTTCTCACTCCCTTGCTTGAAAGCCCAACTGCCTATGGTGGCTTCCCGCTCTCTTTTTCTTGATCACTTCCACTCTCATTCTCATGCCATCGCTGTGTACACAGATGGCTCTAAGTCTTCAGACGGCGTCGGATTCGCAGCAGTGTTTCCGGACAGCGTCGTGCGGGGGCATTTACTATCTTCGGCTAGCATTTTTACTGCTGAATTGTATGCCATTCTTACAGCACTTATTCGTATCGCATCTATGCCTGTGTCATCATTTGTGGTTGTCTCAGACTCCCTTAGTGCTTTACATGCTATACGAAAATTTGATACATCTCACCCCCTAGTTCTCCGTATCCAACTTTGGCTACGCCGTATCTCTACCAAACATAAAGATATTGTTTTTTGTTGGGTCCCTGGTCATGTTGACGTACAGGGCAATGAACAGGCAGACACTGCTGCGCGGTCAGCAGTACATGACCTACCAATTTCCTATAGAGGTGTTCCATTTCTGGACTATTTTGCTGCAATAGCTGCCCACCTTCGCGCCCGTTGGCAACAATGTTGGTTAACTCTGCTCGGTAACAAACTTCATTCTATTAAACCGAGCATAGGTTACTGGCCATCTTCTTGTCATCAGTGCCGAGGTTGGGAGACCACTCTCTCCTGCCTTCGCATTGGCCACTCTCGTCTTACTCACGGGTATCTCATGGAGAGGCACCCTGTTCCTCTCTGTGAGCAGTGTCAAGTTCCAGTATCGATTAGCCACATTCTGTTAGACTGCCCTCTCTATCAACGAGCACGCAGAATTTACCTCCAACGCCGTCTTCGTTCTACTACTCTCTCTTTACCTTCCCTTCTTGCTGATGGACCCTCCTTTAATCCTGACTCTCTCATTGACTTCTTGACAACGACTGATTTACTCCACAAACTCTGATGATACTTTTCGCACTCCCCTCAGCCCTTTCTAGTTCAGTCTCTTGCTGCCGTTTACCCTTTCACCATCCACTACCCCGCTGTTATCCGTAACCTATTACTCATCCATCTCCCTTTTGCCACCTGATGTCCTCGCTTCCTTCCTGCCCTGCAGCGCTGTATAGCCCTTGTGGCTTAGTGCTTCTTTTTGATTATAATAATAATAATATGTATATTTTGATAACTTGTTGCAAATGAGTCTAAATGCTGTGTGTGTGGAGATTGGAATATACATTTTTAGGTTAGTGTTTATTGTGGTGGTCTGTGCAGGGGTGAGAACAGGTGAGGTATATACAAGTATACAATTGAGATATGGTAATGTTATCACATACACAGAATGCACAAGTTGCTTATTCTATTGATGTGCTGTATTATAACATGTGAAGAAGTTTAGTATGAGTGTGGGTTAGGTAAGATTGGTCAGGAAACAGGATAAGTTTCTTGACGCAAGTCTTCTAGTCGTACAATTACCTACCACTAGAGCTTTCAATCATCTGACAGGCCTTGCACTGGCTTACTGAGTCCACCTCTTTAGGTTATAATAATAATCATTTAAAGACATGTACAGTTCAGGACATTTATTAGGGGAAACATTTCCTATAATGTACTGATTGGTACGTGTCTTTTTTTTTCCACATCTTGTCAATATCACCGTTTTTCATAACCAGTTAGTGTTGAGCTCATCTGAGCCTGACTCAACATTGACACAGTTTGTCATGGTGCCAACTGTTCCATTTTTTTAGCTTGTTCCAATTTTCTTCACAACACTTGGAGCATTTACCTCCGACGTTGTCACCGCTCTAACGCCCTCACTTGTCTTCCCTCCTCGCTGATGGCCCTACCTTGACACAGACTTCCTCTTTGACTTTTTGATAGCTAGATTTATTACACAACCTTTGATGATACTTCCTTTAGCATTTTTCACTGTCCTTATTAACTCTACCTCTGTTATACATGTACTCTCCACCCTCACTGGTCTTTAATCAAGTACATATATTAAACCGTTAGAACATCCTACCCTGCAGCAACGTACGACCCTTAAGGGTTTAGTACTGCTTTATGATTATAACCCCCTGCCTCCTTTCCCCTCAAGGAAGGTCCCTTGATCAAGGGAATTGGATCTGTGCTCCATTTCCCTGAATGCCTTCCATTCCCCCACCCCTTCAGGTGCTATATTAGCACCATTTTTTTTTTATAATTCAAGCACTGTATAATCCCAATAATTCACAACATTTGAGCAAGTCCCATTCTTTGAATTAAATCACTTAACCTCCCACTTCCCAAGTGCTGTATTACTCTTGGGTTTAGCACCCCCCCCCCCCATGCCCATCCTCTCATTTCCCTAGCGCTGTACGACTTGTGGGTTTAGGGCGTAGTTATGATTATAATCTTTTTCACATCAGTGCAATGGAGCAGCATCCTGCAATCTTGTATTTTGTAATACCTTGGCCTTCTGTATCTTTGCAAGTTGTGACTGAGAGGTAAATGCTGAAAAGTAGTTTTGGACATTGTAAGGTATGTTTAATCTGTTTTGCTTTATCTAGCAGCAAGCTTTGCTTGTGGGAATATTGTACACTACACATTTGTATGTGGGAAACACTGTATATTATATAATTGTAAGTGGGAACACTGTACATTATATAATTGTGCAGCACTGTATGACCCTTCTGGGTTTAGTGCTTAATTTTGATTATAGAAATTTATGGCAGCAAGGGCTCTTTGGCAAAGGAATTAGACCTCCTCCTTGGATCCCTCACTGACGGCTCCACTTTCAATGCAAACTCCCTCTTGACTTCATCAGCGACAGCTTTATTACACTGATGCAGCGCTGTATGACCCTTGTGGGTTTAACGCTTAGTTTTGATTATAATTTATTACACACTGATTAGCACTCCTCACCACTAATAATTTTCTTGAATCAAACCTTCCGGTTCCTTGAATTAAGCCTGAATGCCTTGTATCACCCATCCCCCAAGTGCAGGTTTAGCGCTCCCCCACAATAACGTTCTTCCCGGCTGTTATATAACCTCTATGGGTTTAGCATTCTCTCATGAATATAACTGAAAATAAAATATCTGTTGATCCAAGGATGACTATTTGTGTATCCCAGAATGAAGGATTTGGAGTCACCTGTGAACATAACAGCACGCGAGTACAGATGCTACCCTACTTACGAACATTCGGACATACGAATAGACTGCCATGTTAGTTGAAGATTTTCATTACATTAAAGCCAACCATACCCCGGCCGGGATTGAACCCGCGGTCAGAGAGTCTCAAAACTCCAGACCGTCGCGTTAGCCACTAGACCAGCTAGCCACAATAAGATTCATCCAACTAGGTATATTTCTACACCATAAGAAGGTTAGCACAGGCACCACTGTGACCACAAATGCAAGTTTTTACAGACGAATCTCCAGCTAGCGTGGCCGTGACGAACTCTAGCTCAAGTCCCTTCACTGCCGTCAACATGACTCACGAAATCGTAATGACACGATTGCAAACAAACCATACCCCGGCTGGGATTGAACCCGCGGTCAGAGAGTCTCAAAACTCCAGCCCGTTGCGTTAGCCACTAGACCAGCTAGCCACAATAAGATTCATCCAACTAGGTATATTTCTACACCATAGGAAGGTTAGCACAGGCACCACTGTGACCACAAATGCAAGTTTTTACAGACGAATCTCCAGCTAGCGTGGCCGTGACGAACTCTAGCTCAAGTCCCTTCACTGCCCTCAACATGACTCACGAAATCGTAATGACACGATTGCAAACAAACCATACCCCGGCCGGGATTGAACCCACGGTCAGAGAGTCTCAAAACTCCAGCCCGTCGCGTTAGCCACTAGACCAGCTAGCCACAATAAGATTCATCCAACTAGGTATATTTCTACACCATAGGAGGGTTAGCCAGGCACCACGATTTCGTGAGTCATGTTGACGGCAGTGAAGGGACTTGAGCTAGAGTTTGTCACGGCCACGCTAGCTGGAGATTCATCTGTAAAAACTTGCATTTGTGGTCACAGTGGTGCCTGTGCTAACCTTCCTATGGTGTAGAAATATACCTAGTTGGATGAATCTTATTGTGGCTAGCTGGTTTAGTGGCTAACGCGATGGGCTGGAGTTTTGAGACTCTCTGACCGTGGGTTCAATCCCGGCCGGGGTATGGTTTGTTTGCAATCGTGTCATTACGATTTCGTGAGTCAGTTCATTACATTATTTATTAAATTATGCTTTAGTATTAAGAACCGTACATTGCTGATACTGTACACTGTCATCTAAGTTTTCAACGAACAACGGTGCAGAGAACAATAGAAAAAATGGCAAAATAACGACTTGCAAACAATACAAGATACAAACAGCCTTCTGGAACGTAATTTTTTTTTTTTTTTTTGGGGGGGGGGTCTGTATAACTTGAAAATCTAGAATATGAGCCATAGGATCACAACAATTATGCATTATTATAATCATAACCAAGCGCCAAACCCACAAGGGTCATGCAGCGCTGCTTAGCCCATTACAAGAGTACAAGTTCCTCGTAGTATTCACTTGACCCGTGTGGGTTTAGTTTTTTTTTTTAACGCGTTTCACTCCCGCACCCTTCACGGAAGGTTCCTTGATGCGGGTGAGGGGCTCTTGATCTAGGGAATTGGATCTGTACTTTAGTTTCCTGAATTAAGCCTGAATAGCTTCCACATCTCCCCACAGGCGCTGTATAATCCTACGGATTTAGCGCTTCCCCTTTGATTATAATAATAATCACTCCCGCATGACAAGAGGATAATCCAGCACCTCCCTGCATGGTTGCTGTCTACCATTACAATAATAACAGCTAAGCACTAAACCCACGAGGGTCATACACCGCTGTGCTGTCTACCAACCTGGATGCACGTTTCACTCCCACATAACAGGAGGATAGTCCAGCACCGCCCTGCATGGTTGCAATGTAACAACCCACTTCAATAATATAATTAGGACAAATTCATAGACAAACTAAATCTTTAAATATTTAATTAATTATAATGCCCAAATTGACATTAAATGAATGCACGAAAGATCGCCAAAAAAAAAAAATCTATCCTTTGAAAAAATGCATTAGAAATACTGTATAGATAATGCCACTATACATACAGTATATTCCATCAATGTACAAAAAAAAATACCAATTCTATAATACTGTATAGAAAAATTATGTATACTGTATGTATTAAATGCATTCATATACAGTAAACTACATATATAAATTTTGTATAGCTTACCAGTATTCAATAACAATAAATGTTTTCCATCTTAAAAGGGTATTGATTGTGTACGAATATTTTATATTTAACGTGCAAATCCGACAAATAAAAGAAATTTAGATACTTTATGATTTTTTTCCCATTCAAAAATACTGCCTTCAGTAGTGAGGCCAAACCAAATAAAACCAAAGTATGTATACATTTTTGTAAACTCAAAGTCGTAATGAACGACTCAATAAAGAGGGACGAGGGTGTGACCTAACACTCCGTACATAATAGGAAGAGAGTATAATTATACAACAAGCTTTATTCCTGTAGAAACAAGCCAGAGACATAAAAAATGTTATACTATCCCTGTACTCATACCGTAAAGACAGTAAACTTAACTCGTAATATAACTTTATAAGTTGCGGAAATGGAAGTAGATCAATTTGCCGTTTCACAGGCATCTATCCAATCATTATACACATCCACAGGTTCCGAGAGGTAATTGATGGTACACTGGTAGTCCTCCAGACAGACCCGACAAGAGACTCTCCCAGCATTCCTCGGTTTATCCCTGGGGTAAGAAAAACACCTTGGTTTATCCCTGGGGTAAAAAAAAAATGGTTGCAGTGCCATTGGAAAATGGTGCTGCAACCACTGGAAATGTTAAGAATTATATAATGAACAAATTACTGAAGATGGAACACACAAAGAGCACTGCAGCAGGCCTACTGGCCCAGGCTAAGCAGGTCCAACTCACATCCACTCATGTACTTGTCTAACCTATTTTTAAGCTACAAATAGGTAACTGCACTGAAACATGACAAGGACACGAACTGTACAATGTTAAAACTAGAACACGAATATTTTTTTTTTTCAACAAGTCGGCCGTCTCCCACCGAGGCAGGGTGACCCAAAAAGAAAATCCCCAAAAAGAAAATACTTTCATCATCATTCAACACTTTCACCACACTCACACATAATCACTGTTTTTGCAGAGGTGTTCAGAATACAACAGTTTAGAAGCATATACGTATAAAGATACACAACATATCTCTCCAAACTGCCAATATCCCGAACCCCTCCTTTAGAGTGCAGGCACTGTACTTCCCATTTCCAGGACTCAAGTCCGACTATATAAAAATAACCGGTTTCCCTGAATCCCTTCACTAAATATTACCCTGCTCACACTCCAACAGATCGTCAGGTCCCAAGTACCATTCGTCTCCATTCACTCCTATCGAACACGCTCATGCACGCCTGCTGGAAGTTCAAGCCCCTCGCCCACAAAACCTCTCTTACCCCTTCCTTCCAACTTTTTCGAGGACGACCCGTACCCCACCTTCCTTCTCCTACAGATTTAAATGCTCTCCATGTCATTCTACTTTGATCCATTCTCTAAATGACCAAACAACCTCAACAGCCCCTTCAAGTCATCCATGAAAGTTCCAGTGGATAAAGCAAAAAAAATTACTGTAACAAATCGGCCGTTTTCCACGGAAGTCAAGTAACACGCAGAAATAAAGGAAACACATTTGCTCAACTGCCACCTCGCCAGAAACTGCAACATCCCCACTCATCCCTCAGAGCGCAGGAACTACTTCCCACCATCAGTTGAGTTGCTTAGTATTCAAGTCCGGCTTAATATGAACATCAAATGAAAGAGTAATATAAATGGTGTACTGTCAACAACAGTGAAAAGGCACATCGTAGGAGCAGCTTTAATTGTGGCAACATTTCTCTCCTCAGAGAAACGATGTCCAAACAAAAGCTTGTCCTGCAGCCTGCGTCTTTTCTCTGCCATCAAATGAGGAGGCGAGCAAGACACGTGTCCAACAGGTATGTTTATTTCCTAAACATTTCACCTACACAGTAGAAAAGTAGACGCTAAACTGTCGCACACGTGTCTTACTCGTGCACGCCCGTCAATGTCATACACCATGAATAACTAAAATGTAATGAGCACTTGTTAATGCTCAATCATAACCCACACGGAGATAAACCGTGAGATTGATCTGTAGAATTCAACCCTCCTTCTGGGGTCATCCTCATCTGCTGAATTATTATAATCATGTGGAGCTATAAACCCGCAGGATTATAAAGCGCATGTGGAGGGGAGATGGAAGGTATTTAGGTTCAAGTCAGGAAACTGGAGCACAGATCCAATTCCCTAGATCAACTTATCTGCTAAAGAGGACCCCAGAAGGGGGTCGAAATATATGGGTTATTACTGAGCATCGTATATCATTATTATAATGGTCAATGTGGGTCATTATTGAGCATCGTATATCATTATAATGGTCTATGTGGGTCATTACTGAACATTATATATCATTATAATGGTCTATGTGGGTCATTACTGAACAATATATATCATTATAATGGTCTATGTGGGTCATTACTGAACAATATATATCATTATAATGGTCTATGTGGGTCATTACTGAACATTATATATCATTATAACTGCACATCAAACAATAGAGAAATATTTACATATTAACTTCACACGACTTCTCGTGGTTGCAGAAAGGACAGTTGAACTGTGTGTCTAGGGGTTCAATGTTCTTCCTCCTTGGGGGCGGCTTTCTCTTTGACTTACGACGACCCATATCTCTCTTTGCAGAGTACAACACACACCTGCAAAAATAAATGCGAATTTAATAATAGACAACAGCTGCAAAAATTAATAGACGACGGCTGCAAAAATTAATAGACGACGGCTGCAAAAATTAATAGACGACGGCTGCAAAAATTAATAGACGACGGCTGCAAAAATTAATAGACGACGGCTGCAAAAATTAATAGACGACGGCTGCAAAAATTAATAGACGATGGCTGCAAAAATTAATAGACGATGGCTGCAAAAATTAATAGACGATGGCTGCAAAAATTAATAGACGATGGCTGCAAAAATTAATAGACGATGGCTGCAAAAAATAGACGACGGCTTCAAAAATTAATAATAGACGACGGCTGCAAAAATTAACAACAGACAACGGCTACAAAAATTAACAATAGACGACGGCTGCAAAAATTAACAACAGACGACGGCTGCAAAAATTAACAACAGACGACGGCTGCAAAAATTAACAATAGACGACGGCTGCAAAAATTAATAATAGACGACGGCTTCAAAAATTAATAATAGACGACGGCTTCAAAAATTAATAACAGACGACGGCTGCAAAAATTAACAATAGACGACGGCTGCAAAAATTAACAATAGACGACGGCTGCAAAAATTAACAATAGACGACGGCTGCAAAAATTAACAATAGACGACGGCTGCAAAAATTAACAATAGACGACGGCTGCAAAAATTAACAATAGACGACAGCTGCAAAAATTAACAATAGACGACGGCTGCAAAAATTAACAATAGACGACGGCTGCAAAAATTAACAATAGACGACGGCTGCAAAAATTAACAATAGACGACGGCTGCAAAAATTAACAATAGACGACAGCTGCAAAAATTAACAATAGACGACAGCTGCAAAAATTAACAATAGATGACGGCTGCAAAAATTAACAATAGACAACGGCTGCAAAAATTAACAATAGACGATGGCTGCAAAAATTAATACAAATTTTATTATAGAAGACAATATTATTATTTTAATCAAAACAAAGCACTAAACCCACAAGGGTCATGCATTATAGGAGACATCTGCAAAAAGAACAATAAACTCCTAACCACAAAATTTCCCAATACAAATGCTGCAAAAAAAAGTCAAAAAATAAACATTAAAAATCAACCAATAAAAAAAAAACATTACAAAAAAAAAAAAAACAGATTATTTTAACTAAAACAAAAACACTTAAAACGAAACAAACAAAACCTTAAATTCTTATTTATTCCTCCTAATATTTATCAAAGACACTTATTACACTTAAATAAGTGGATATAAGTGCAAAAAATGCGATAATAAGTGTTAAATAAGGAGAAAATGTGATAAAAGTGAAGGACGCACCAGAAGACAGCTTCCACCTGGTGCTGAATGTAAACAATACAATGTTATTATTTCCGTGTTATGTTGTCGATAATTATTATCAAATATATTAACAAAATGGTAAAAAAAACTCCTAATAGATATTAAATAATGTTAAATGAAGATTAGAGCTTATTTGTGCTTAATTGGGTTATGGTTTGTTAGTTTTTTATTTGGTTTTAATGTTTTATCGGTAACGTGAGCCGTAAAAAAAAGATGGCGGGGAAGAGCGCAAAGAAACTTGTGATTTGCTATTTTTTTTTTTTTAAGAGGTGATGGAGAGTCAGCCGTCGTTCTCGGTTTCGTCCTCGTCGTCCTCCACGGAACCGTGTACTTACCTCTCGCTGCGATCACTCGCTGCGATCATTCGCTGCGACCACAGCTCTTTGCGACCATTATTATTATTATTATAATCAAAGGGGAAGCGCTAAACCCGGAGGATTATACAGCGCCTGGGGGGGGGGATGTGGAAGGCATTCAGGCTTAATTCGGGGAACTGGAGCACAGATCCAATTCCCTAAATGAAGAGCCCCTCACCAACATCAAGGAACCTTCCTTGAGGGGTTTGCGACCATTGGTCGCAGCGAGAACGTTCATGGTCGCAGCGAGAACGTTCATGGTCGCAGCGAGAACGTTCATGGTCGCAGCGAGAACGTTCATGGTCGCAGCGAGAACGTTCATGGTCGCAGCGAGAACGTTCATGGTCGCAGCGAGAACGTTCATGGTCGTAAAGAGAACACTCATGGTCGCTGTGAGAGCGACTTTTGTTCTCTATAACCTCTCTGATAAGTCAGTCAGTTGTTAGGTAAGACACATATACAACAGTTAGGTATCTTTATTTCGAAACGTTTCGCCTACACAGTAGGCTTCTTCAGTCGAGTACAGAAAAGTTGATAGAAGCAGAAGATACTTGAAGACGATGTAATCAATCCATCACCCTTAAAGTTTTGAGGTGGTCAGTCCCTCAGTCTGGAGAAGAGTATTGTTCCATTGTCTGGAATAATATGGAGTTGAAGTGACAGGATGGAGCCTTATATAGCGCCAGGAGGTGAGACGTAGGTCACTAGTAGAGGTAAGAATGTGGACGTTGAGAGGTCAGGTCCCTCTCAAATCCAGCCGTTCTCACTAGTAGAGGTTGTCGAAGTTGAGTCCGAGTCTGTACCAAGATACCCTTGTGTTGCAGTGTCTGACAGAGTGAACAATAAAATGGTATAAAATACCGACAGGTATTTTATACCATGGAACAATACTCTTCTCCAGACTGAGGGACTGACCACCTCAAAACTTCAAGGGTGATGGACTGATTACATCGTCTTCAAGTCTCTTCTGCTTCTTTCAACTTTTCTGTACTCGACTGAAGAAGCCTACTGTGTAGGCGAAACGTTTCGAAATAAAGATACCTAACTGTTGTATATGTGTCTTACCTAACAACCTGTCGGTATTTTATACCATTTTATTGTTCAATCAGTCATTACCACAGGTCTTAATGATCATTTACTGCGCCAGGAAAATCATTGAGGGAACGGATAGTATAGGCCTAGTAGCGACCTGTGAAGAGGCGGGGCCAGGAGCTATGACTAGACCCCTGCAACCACAACTAGGTGAGCACAGGACAATAAAAATGATCCCAAATAGAAACTACAGTAAAGAAATACTGTTAAATAGGCAACAAAATTGATGGACTGATGACACGTTGTACTGGACCAACACCTCACTAATTAATCTGATGGACTGAGAACTGAAATGTTGCTCGGGAATCACATAGGCATACGTAGTAACCTTAGGCTTATATCATGTAAGAAACTACAAACTATAGGCATAGGTTCTGTAGATTGGTTTAAGTCCTACCTGAGCAACAGGGAACAAATTGTCAAGGTCAGCAACTCAGAATCAGAGCTCCTTCTGATGGCAGGTGGGGTTCCCCAAGGTAGTATCTGGGTCCCTTATTGTTTCTATGTCAGGATACTGACATGACTATCAGTGTCAAGTGTGACCTTGTATGTAGATGACAGTGCTCTGTGTCACGTCAAGAGTCACAAGATGTATCTAGTGTACTATCAGTGTCAAGTGTGACCTTGTATGTAGATGACAGTGCTCTGTGTCACGTCAAGAGTCACAAGATGTATCTAGTGTACTATCAGTGTCAAGTGTGACCTTGTATGTAGATGACAGTGTTGTGTCACGTCAAGAGTCACAAGATATATCTAGTGTACTATCAGTGTCAAGTGTGACCTTGTATGTAGATGACAGTGCTGTGTCACGTCAAGAGTCACAAGATATATCTAGTGTACTATCAGTGTCAAGTGTGACCTTACATGTAGATGACAGTGTTGTGTCACGTCAAGAGTCACAAGATATATCTAGTGTACTATCAGTGTCAAGTGTGACCTTGTAAGTAGATGACAGTGCTCTGTGTCACGTCAAGAGTCACAAGATGTATCTAGTGTACTATCAGTGTCAAGTGTGACCTTACATGTAGATGACAGTGCTCTGTGTCACGTCAAGAGTCACTATCAGTGTCAAGTGTGACCTTACATGTAGATGACAGTGTTGTGTCACGTCAAGAGTCACAAGATATATCTAGTGTACTATCAGTGTCAAGTGTGACCTTACATGTAGATGACAGTGCTCTGTGTCACGTCAAGAGTCACTATCAGTGTCAAGTGTGACCTTACATGTAGATGGCAGTGCTCTGTGTCACGTCAAGAGTCACAAGATATATCTAGTGTACTATCAGTGTCAAGTGTGACCTTGTATGCAGATGACAGTGTTCTGTGTCACGTCAAGAGTCACAAGATGTATCTAGTGTACTATCAGTGTCAAGTGTGACCTTACATGTAGATGACAGTGCTCTGTGTCACGTCAAGAGTCACTATCAGTGTCAAGTGTGACCTTACATGTAGATGACAGTGTTGTGTCACGTCAAGAGTCACAAGATATATCTAGTGTACTATCAGTGTCAAGTGTGACCTTACATGTAGATGACAGTGCTCTGTGTCACGTCAAGAGTCACTATCAGTGTCAAGTGTGACCTTACATGTAGATGGCAGTGCTCTGTGTCACGTCAAGAGTCACAAGATGTATCTAGTGTACTATCAGTGTCAAGTGTGACCTTACATGTAGATGGCAGTGCTCTGTGTCACGTCAAGAGTCACAAGATGTATCTAGTGTACTATCAGTGTCAAGTGTGACCTTACATGTAGATGACAGTGCTCTGTGTCACGTCAAGAGTCACAAGATATATCTAGTGTACTATCAGTGTCAAGTGTGACCTTGTATGCAGATGACAGTGTTCTGTGTCACGTCAAGAGTCACAAGATGTATCTAGTGTACTATCAGTGTCAAGTGTGACCTTGTAAGTAGATGACAGTGCTCTGTGTCACGTCAAGAGTCACAAGATGTATCTAGTGTACTATCACTAGAACTAGAGTCCAGCAGCAAGTGGTTAGTAGACAGCAAATTAGCGCTACAACTCGGGAAAACGGACGCCATGCTCTTTGGCACCAAAAATACACAGAAATGGGCACATAATTTGGTGTCCAGGGTAATGGTGACCCGTCACTGCCGTGCCCTCTGTGAAATATCTGGGAATCTTCTCTGACCCAAGTTATGTCAGGAGGACTGACAGTGTACACTGTAGTGCACAAAGTGAATGTTAGACTAGGCCAGTAGGGTACTAGGCCAAGTACCCTACTGACCAGTAGGATACTAGGCCAGTATGGTACTATTCTAGTATAGTACTAGGCCAGTATAGTACTAGGCCAGTAGGGTACTAGGCCAGTATAGTACTAGGTCAGTATAGTACTAGACCAGTAGGGTACTAGGCCAGTAGGATACTAGGCCAGTATGGTATTATTCCAGTACAGTACTAGGCCAGTATAGTATTAGGCCAGTAGGGTACTAGGCCAGTATAGTACTAGGCCAGTATAGTACTAGACCAGTAGGGTACTAGGCCAGTAGGATACTAGGCCAGTATAGTATTATTCCAGTATAGTACTAGGCCGGTATAGTACTAGGCCAGTAGGGTACTAGGCCAGTATAAGATAAGATAAGATAAGATTTCGTTCGGATTTTTAACCCCGGGGGGTTAGCCACCCAGGATAACCCAAGAAAGTCAGTGCGTCATCGAGGACTGTCTAACTTATTTCCATTGTGGTCCTTAATCTTGTCCCCCAGGATGCCACCCACACCAGTCGACTAACACCCAGGTACCTATTTGCTGCTAGGTGAACAGGACAACAGGTGTAAGGAAACGTGTCGATATGTTTCCACCCGCCGGGAATCGAACCCAGGCCCTCCGTGTGTGAAGCGGGAGCTTTAGCCACCAGGCCACCGGGCCAATATAGTACTAGGCCAGTAGGGTACTAGGCCAGTATGGTACTAGGCCAGTATAGTACTAGGCCAGTATAGTACTAGGCCAGTAAGGTACTAGGCCTAGTACCCTACTGGCCAGTAGGATACTAGGCCAGTATGGTACTATTCTAGTATTTACTAGGCCAGTATAGTGCTAGGCCAGTAGGGTACTAGGCCAGTAGGATACTAGGCCAGTATGTTACTATTCCAGTATAGTACTAGGACAGTATAGTACTAGGCCAGTAGGGTACTAGGCCTAGTACCCTACTGGCCAGTAGGATACTAGGCCAGTATGGTACTATTCTAGTATAGTATTAGGCCAGTATAGTACTAGGCCAGTAGGGTACTAGGCCAGTATAGTACTAGGCCAGTATAGTACTAGGCCAGTAGGGTACTAGGCCAGCATGGTACTAGGCCAGTATAGTACAAGGCCAGTATAGAACTAGGCCAGTAGGGTACTAGGCCAGTATGGCACTAGGCCAGTATAGTACTAGGCCAGTATGGTACTAGGCCAGTAGGGTACAAGGCCGGTAGGGTACTAGGCCAGTATAGTACTAGGCCAGTAAGGTACTAGGCCAGTATAGTACTAGGCCAGTATGGTACTAGGCCAATATGGTACTAGGCCAGTATGGTACTAGGCCAGTATAGTACCAGGCCAGTATGGT